TTGGTGTTTCTTTCACACAGTGATGTTTCTCTCTCTCTCTTCTCCTCTCCCCCTCCCCACAAATGGATTAGAACGTGACCAAAGTATTAATAATGGCATATTTAAAGCCATAAAGCTTTCTGCCCCGGTTGGTGTGGCTCAACGGATTGAGTGCTGGCCTGCAGACTGAAAATTTGCCGGTTCGATTCCCGGTCAGGGCACATGCATGGGTTGCGGGCCAGGTCCCCAGCTGGGGGAGTGTGGGAGGCAACCAATCTGTTTCTCTCCCTCTCGTTCTCCCTCTCTCTAGAAAAATAAGTAAATAAAATGTTAAAAAAAAGCCATAAAGCTTTTAAATAATCAAGAACAAATAAACACAGAAGATGCAACAGAAGAACAAAAAAGCTTAAGAAAAATAAAAGATAAAAATAAAAAATAACTTATTAACCAATCGATGTAAGAGCCAGTTTTTGAAAATTAAACAATGCAAGTTGCTAACAAATTGAAGAAAAATATCAGAAAACATACAAATAAAATCAGGAATGTAATAGGACAAAAACCACTTTCTTAGGCCCTCTTTCCCGGAGCTAGCATGACTGACCCTGATTGTTTTATAAGCCTTTATCCTCAGGACAACAAAATTACTGGAAGCACCCTGAAGGCTCAGAGGCTCCAGGAACTTACAGAACAGGCCATACCAGACCACAACTGACCACTGGGCTCTCCACCCAAAGGTAACATCAAAACCAGCTGCAGCCTAACTGAAACATCCTCCTCTACAACTACTCCATTAATGATAGAAACTCACAGCCCCCACCCCTCAGGGCTGGTGCTGGTGCACATCTCTGCACCTTGCCCTTTCCCTCCCTTGGGAAAGTAAAAATAAAACCTTTACTCTCTGAGCTTTCTTCTCTTTGTGAATTTTTTCACAGCCCGTGTCACCAACCACCCTAACCGAATGGGAAGTAAAATAATATACTTAATTTTTAGTTAAAAAATTAAAAAATGTGAAGATTTTAGAGAAATGAACGATTTTCTGGATAAGTTAATGTAAGTGACACACGAGATGATGGAAATGTTCCATGTCATGATGGTGGTGGTGTTTATAATTACTGTATTTTTTTGTCAAAACTTATCCAACTGAACACTTAAAATTGGCCAATTATTTATATGTATTTGTTTTGTCTCAGTAATTCTGCCCAAAAAATTTGACTAAAGAGCTAAAAAATTTTAAAAGACTGACAGTAAGAGAAGAAACAGAAAAAGGAGGTACCAATGTTTTTCTTTCCAGAGATGCCTTTACAGGTAGGTGACTCCCTTCAGTTGATTCATGTATTCGGTCGATAAATATTTATTAGTGATATGGGGGGGAGGGGTTTATTCTCCTGGAACTGTTCTAAGAACCGGGTATTAATACAGTAAATGAAAACAAAGTTTTTACATTCCAGTGGGGGAACAATAAATAAGCAAAACAAAACAAAAGAACCAACTGTCAGGTGACAGTAGTATTAAGAAGAAAAATACATAAGGGGGCAGAGAGTGCCTGGGGTAGAGTGCTCATTTCCATGGCTCACTGGTCAAGAAATTTCTGACAAGGCCGACTCCTGATCTGAAGGACATTAGAAAGTAAAAGATGCAGCGGGGTAATAGTGAATGTGGCAGAGGAGAAGTGCGAAGGTCTAGAGGACTAGCTTGTTTGGCAGGACCAAAGAATGAGTAGGCTTGTTTGGCCGGTGAACAGGACAGTGGCAAGAGATGAAGTCAGGGCTTGATATTTTTTTCTGAGTGAGAGAGGAATCCTCTCACAGGGATGTCCAAACTCTTGGTGTTTCTGGGCAACTTTGGAAGAAGAAGAGTTGTCTTGGACCACACATTAAATATGCAACACTAACAAAAACTGATGGGGAAAGAAAAGGTTTTAAGTAAATTTACGATTTTGGGCTGCATTCATAGCCATCCTGGGCCATATGAGGCCTGCCTGAAGGCCGCAGGTTGGATACCCCTTAGTCTAATGGGACTTAGAACAGTGATGTTAAATAACACAATTTACATCTTGAAAGATCGCTAGCTGTTGTGCTGAGACTAGATTGAAGGGGGGCAAATAATCAGAACAAGGTGACAGTAATAGTCTAAGCAAGAGAAAGTAACACTGGACGAGGGTGGAGCTAGTGAAAATGGTGAAATGCCTGGATTCTATATATATTTCAAAGGTAGAGAGTTATGACTGTTGAGACACTGAAGGTAGAGTCTGAGGAAAAGAGTCAAGAATGATTCTTAATAATATATACTTTCTAGGTCATAAAAAAAAGAAAAGGTGCTTCCCATTCTAAAAAATGAAGTCAGCACATCCTAATACTCAAATCCCCAAGGGGGGAGAAACAGCAGATAGAAAAGAAAGGCTGCACCCACTATGAAAATGGATGTAAACATCCTAAGTAAAATAACAGCAAATCAAATTTAGCAAACCATTAAAATACAACTATACTGACTCCAAATAGGATTTATCCTACTAAGAAAAGGGAAAGTCACTTCTGGCCAGGATGGATGTATAGGTAGATACACTCTGCCTCCTCACACAACCAAAAGAAGGATAACAACAAATTTAAAAACAAAAAATGACCAGAAATGCCATAAAATCCAACTGTATGGAAGTCTGATAGCCAAGGAGTTAAAGAAGAAACATTCATCCAGACTTGTAGGTGGGACAGAGACAGGCAGCCAGGGCAGAGAGGATGTGCAAGGCAGTGGCTGGAGGACCAGGCGGCCCCACATTTGTATGCAGATAAGCTGGGAGGAACAGCTGGGAAGCAAGACAGACCATGCAATCCAGGGTTCTGGTGCAGGAAAAGAAAGCCTCAAAATCCCTGCCTGTAAAAACATGTGGGGGTGCAGTGGCAGGAGAAACTCCCAGTCTCACAGAAGAGTTCACTTGGAGAGACCCATGGGTCTAGAACATACACAAGCCCACCCACCCAGAAATCAGCACTAGCAGGGCCCAATTTGCTTGTGGGTAGCAGGGGAAGTGACTGAAACCAAGAAACCAAGCAAATGGCATCGTTCCCTCTCAGATCCCTCCCCCACATACAGTATAGCAATGCAGAGACCTGGTGTGCTGCACCCTGGCAAATACCTAAGGCTCTGCCCTTTACAATGTAACAGGTGCACCAAGACAAAGAAATATGGCCCAAATGAAAGAACAGATCAAAGCTTCAAAAACTGAACTAAGCAGTGAACAGATAGCCAATCTATCAGATGCACGGTTCAAAACACTGGTAATCTGGATGCTCACAGAAATGGTGGTGTATGGCTGCAAAATGGAGGAAAAAAATGAAGGCTATGCTAAGGGAAATCAAGAAAAATATACACAGTACCAATAATAAAGGGAAGGAAACTGGGACTCAAATCAACGACTTGGAGCAGAAGGAAGAGATAAACATTCAACTGGAACAGAATGAAGAAACAAGAATTCAGAAAAATGAGAAGAGGCTTAGGAACCACTGGGACAACTTTAAACATTCCAACATCTGAATCATAAGGGTGTCAGAAGGAGAAGAGGAAGAGCAAGAAATCGAAAACTTCATTTGAAAAAACAATGAAGCACAATTTTCTCAATCTGGCGAAGGAAATAGACTTCCAGGAGATCCAGGAAGCTCGGAGAGTCCCAAAGAAGTTGGACCCAAGGAAGTACACACTAAGGCACATCATAATTACATTACCCAAGATTAAAGACAAGGAGAGAATCTTAAAAGCAGCAAGAGAAAAGGAGACAGTTACCTAACAAAGGAGTTCCCATAGGACTATCAGCTGATTTCTAAAAGAAACCTGGCAGGCAAGAAGGGGCTGGAAAGAAGTATTCGAAGTCATTAAAGACAAGGACCTACATCCAAGATTACTCTATCCAGCAAAGCTATCATTTAGAATGGAAGGGCAGATAAAGTGCTTCCCAGATAAGGTCAAGTTAAAGGAATTCATTGTCACCAAGCCCTTATTATATGAAATGTTAAAGGACTTATCTAAGAAAAAGAAGATCAAAAACTATGAACAGCAAAATGACAACTAACTCACAACTATCAATAACTGAACCTAAAACAAAAACAAACTAAGCAAACAACTAGAACAGTAACAGAATCACAGAACTAAAGATCAGAGGGAGGGGTAGGAGGGAGAATGGGGGAAAAGGTACAGAAAATAAGCATAAATAGTAGGTACAAATAGGGGGAGGTTAAGAACAGATAGGAAATAGAGAAGCCAAAGAATGTAAATGTACAACATGTGGTCATGAGCTAAGGCGTAGGGGGAACGCTGGTGGGAGGGGGGTGGGTTGCAGGACAGAAGGGAATAAAGGGGAGAAAAGAAATGGGACAACAGTAATAGTATAATCAATAAAATATATATAAAAAAAGTCAAGTTTAAAAAACATATTAATTTACCTTATCACAAGTTAAAGAATAAGTGATTTTAACAGTTGCTGAAAGGCATTTGTTAAAACTTGAGCAATCTTTTTATTCTAAGCAGAAACTCAGTAAATCAAAATAGAAAAACACTTCCTTAACATCTATGCTTTTAAAACAACAGAAACATAGAAATGTTTAAAACACTAAACTATTCCTATTAAAATAAAAAAAAAATTCTACTTTCAGCATTATTATTTAATGTTTCTAAAATGTTAGTCAAAGCAATGGAGGTGGAAATCAGAAGATATGTGACAACTGAAAAAGAGATTTCATCAGCTTTATTTGAAATGAATATACTCAGAAAATCAAAAGTGATCAGCTAAAAAAAAAAGAATAAGAGAGTTTGATGTGATGGCTGGATGTAAATACGTACGTTAGCTTTTCCCAAGTTCTCTTTAGAAGGTGTAATGGAAAAAATCCCATTAATTATAGCAAGAAAATAAAAGAAAAAATATGATAGACATAAGAAATGATATGCCGAGAACACTGAATAAAAAAAACTTTCAACACGTTTAAATTTTTTCAAAGAATTGTCAATGCAATCTCTAATTAAAATATCATGAGGAATGGTTACTTCTTCAGCCTATATACTAAAACTGGAATGCCACAGAGAAGATTAGCATGGCACTATGCAAAACTGACAGACAAATTTCTAAGTGTCCCATTTTTTTATTGTATATTTGAGAATTACAAAGAGAGTAAAACTTAAAGTTCTCATCACAATAAGAACAACAAAAAATTGTAATTGTATGGTGGTAAGTTGTTAACTAGACTTGTAGTGGTGATCAATTTGCAATATATACCTATAGCAAATCATGTTTTATAACTGAAATTTAAGAATGAAATTATGTATCAGTATCTCAAAAAATAACATAAGTATTTCTTTTTGGGGGTGGGGAGAGTTAAAGGGACTTAAAATTACTCTGAAGTTTGTATAAAGCATAAATAGGGGGGAAAGCAAAGGTATATTGCTATAAAATATATTAAGGGGTATGTATAAACTCACATCACTAGTATTAAAACATTACAAAGCTAGAGTAACTAAAATAGTAAAGTTTCGTTTCAAGAATAAACAAATATTTAAAAAATAAAAAATTAAGTTATATTTACTTCATATCATTCAGCAAAATAAATTTCAGATGAAAGTTTTAATAATTTTTCAAAAAGTAAAAAATTGAGAAAATGGGATTATTCATTTGATTTTATGTTAGGAAGACTTTTCTACACATAAAAACAAGTATCATAAATGAAAAGGTAATTCCATAGACAATGGTAGTAAGTGACAAATTGTCTAAAATATTTTTTATATAAATGATTGGAAAAGGGATATAACCCTTGCTAGAAAGAACTTTTAAAAAAATAAAAAATATTACAATAAAAAATGGCCAAAGGACATGAGAAGGTAATTTCCTAAGATATACAAATGAATATGCCTAAAAGTGCCCAAAAATTCCTCTTTAGACATTTTCAAAATCAGTTTATTAGGTATGGTGGTAATTTTCATTATTGCAAAAACCTATTTTATCTTTGACTTTAAAAAGAAATAATTCAACTTGCTTACTGTATTTATTGTTCTCTGGAAAATATATTTATTATTCTTGACTCCAAATGTTGTTCTATTAAAAAAAAGTATACATCTCAAAACCAGACTTAAAAATTTGACATCCTTAAGGATATCAGAAGAATGTCATGGGTCCAGGAAACAGAGGTCTCAAAACTCTAAGTGACAGAAATAGTACTAGTATAAATGTGCACAAATTCCTAAGGTAGCCAGTGCAGTTCGGCTTCCAATATGACCAAACATGCTCCTAGACAAAATATTATTAAAGATACACAGAATCTGAACAAATACTACCATCAGCCACTTTGGTATTTATAAAACGCAACACCCAATAAGTACAGAATACATTCTTTTTAAGTACATACAGTTATGTTCTTCAAGAGAGACATGTGCTAAGCCATAAAACAAATCTCAATACATTCAGAAAAACTGAAATAAATGTAGAATATGCTCTCTGATTACAATGGAATTAAATCAAGAATCAAAAACAAGATATCCAGGAAAACCCCAGGTATTTGGAAAACGAACACACTTCTAAATAACCCATATGTCACTAACTATCCTACAGACATCAAAATGATAATAACAAATTATTACGAACCACTTTATGCCAACAAGTTCAACAGCTTACATGAAACAAATTCCTTGAAAACTACAGCTTACTCAAATTGATGAGATAAAACAAAAAGTATAAATAACTACATAGTATACTAGTTTTCCACAAAAACTCTACGCCAAGATGGTTTTACCAGTAAATTCTATCATTTAAGTGAAAATTAATACCAATATTCCAAAAACTCTTTCAGAAAATGGAGATTATACTTCCCAAGTTATTTAATGAGGTCAGCATAACGCTAATGCCAAAACCTGACAAGCTGTAACAACAACAAAATTATAAATATCCCTCATGAACACAGTTACAAAGATCCTTACCAAAATATTGACAAATCCAATACAGCAAGTAGGGTTTATTCAAGTAATGCAATGTTGTTTTAATATTAAAAAATCAATCAGTGACTAAAAACTTAACAAGAAAACCAGCAACCCAATTTAAAAAATGGGCAAACGATCTGAACAGACACCTCAGTGAACTAGATAAACAGATGGCAAATAAGCATATACAAAAATGTGCAACAATAGAGTCAGGAGGGGCTTTTGGTCAAGATGGCCACCTAAGTAAACAAGGTATTCAGAATCTCCTACAACCACATCAAAAGTAGAACTACAGAACAGCCATCATTCAGAACTGCCTGAAATCTAGCTGAACGGAAATCCTATAAGTAAGGGTATATAAAAGTAGCCATGTTGAGACTGGTAGGAGGGGAAGAAACATGGAATGGGTTGGTCCCACACTTTTGTGTGGTGGTTAAAAATTGGGAGGGATATCTTGGCTTCAGAGGTCCCCTCTGAGGAGCCAGGAGGTTCCAGCCCCACACTAGGCCTCCCAGCCCAGGGCTCTAGTGCCAGGAAGAGAAGTCTCCATAACTTCTGGATGTAAGAACCAGAAGAGATTGTGGCTGAGTGAGACGAAGGGCTCCTGGGGTCCCAGGGTTTCCTCTCAAGTGGCCTGTGCACAAACTTGTTCAGACTCACTCACTCAGAGCTCTAGCACTGGTGCAGCAGTTCAAAAGGTGTCAGGGCTTATCTGGGGAAAAACTGAATTGTCTGGCATCAGGGCAAGGGCTGGAGGGGCAGCTTTTTCCCAGACAGAAGTACTGGCAGAGACCAATGTTCCGTTGCTGAACCCTCCCCCCACAGACCTGGCAAGTGGGCACCATATCTACGTTTCCATCAACCTGGCTAATTCTGTTACTCTTGTCCTGGTGATTCCCTGAGACCCTACCTCCCCCAATTTCAGGGCACACCCAATCCCTTTCCAGTGGCTTTTCCATACAAAAGGTCTGTCTTCACTCATGCTACTGACTTTCCTAAAATCTCTCAAACATGCAGCATTTGGCCTCTGTGTAACTCATACCTCTTGCTTGAACCTTGGCCTCTCCTGGGCACCTACAAGCCCAGCACAGGAAGCAGTCACCTGCAGGTTGCTTTGTAGCTCATGCTGGTTGGCCTTGGGCAGGGCACAGGCAGTGGATAACCTTGGCGTGCACCTCCAAGGTGGCCCCAGAACCAGTGCACCCAGTGGACAGTTTCAGACTGTGCCAAAGTACCACCCAACCACCTCCACAAATGACACACTCAATAGTTGGACTCAATGGGTACCTGAGCCCTGGTGAAGTGAGTTTTGCTCCATGGGGTCAGCCCCTGCAGCAGGTCATCCACGGTGGTTGTGACTAGTACTTGCAGCCAATCAGGCTGGGGGTATACCACTCTCATTTACATGCCAACATCAACTAAGGCTCAACTACAATAGGAAGATACATACAGCCCACACAGGCTGAGGGGGTACACCTGGAGCAACCAGCTCTGGACACCTGGAGCAACCAGCTCTGGACACCTGGAGCAACCAGCTCTGGTGATGGGTGGCTGCGCCACTGGGCCCTAAAGGACACCTACTACATGAGGCCACTTTACCAAGATCGGGAGATGTAGCAGCTGTACCTAATACATAGAAACAAACACAGGGAGAGGACAGAATGAGGAGAAAAACATATTACAAATGAAAGAACAGAACAAAACTCCAGAAAAAGAACTAAACAAAATGAAGGCAAGCAATTTACCAGATGAAGAGTTCAAAACACTGGTTGTAAGGATATTAAATGAACTTAGGGGAAGAGTAGAGGAACTTAGTGAGAATATCAACAAAGAGATAGGAAACATAAAAATGGAGATGGAAACAAACAAAAAAACCAGTTGGAAATTGAGAATACACTAACAGAAATGAAGAATATATTATAGGGAATCAACAGTAAAGTAGATGAAGCAGAGGATCAAATCAATGATTTGGAAGATAAGGAAGGAGGAAACACCCAATCAGAAGAGCAAAATGAAAAAAGAATCCAACGGAATAAAGAGAGTGTAAAGGAGCATCTGGGACAACTTCAAACATACCAATACTCACATCATGGGGATAACAGAAAGAGAAGAGACAGAGCAAGAAATTGAAAACCTATCTGAAAAAATAAGGAAAGAGAACTTCCCTAATTTGGTGAAGGAAACAGACATACAAGTCCAGGAAGCACAGAGTCCCAAAAAGGTGAACCCAAAGAGGCCCACACCAAGACACATCATAATGAAAATGCCAAAGGTTAAAGACAAAAAGAGAATCTTAAAAGCAGCAAAAGAAAGCAGTTAGTTACTTAAAAGTGAACTCCCACAAGACTGTCAGTGGATTTCTCAACAGAAATTTTGCAGGTCAGAAGGGATTGGCATGAATCAAAGTGATAAAAAACAAGGACCTACAAACCAAGATTACTCTACCCAGAAAAGCTATCATTTAGAATTGAAGGACAGATAAAGACTTCCAAGATAAGAAAAAGGTAAGCCCTGGCTGGAGTGGCTCAGCGGCCTGAGTGTTGGACTGAGAACTGAAAGGTTGCTGGTTCGATTCCTGGTCAGGGCACATGCCTTGGTTGTGGGCCAGGTCTTTGGTTGGAGGTGTGTGAAAGGCAACCAATGATGTTTCTCTTCCGCTCTGTCTCCCTCCCTTCCCCTGTGTCTAAAAATAAATAAGTAAAATTAAAAAAAAAATTAAAAAGATTTAAATAATACCAATCATATTCTGTGACTGCAATGCTTTGAAATTAGAAATCAAATGCAAACAGGAAGTTAAGAAACCCACAAATATGTAGAGGTTAAACAACATACTACTAAAAAAATGACTGGGTCAAGAAGAAAAAAAAGGTGAGCTCAAAAGATATATAGAGACAAAGGATGGGCTGACAGGTGTGGTTCAGTTGGTTGGGCATTGTCCCATAAACCAAAATGTCACGGGTTTGGTTCTCAGTCAGGGCACGTGCCTGGGCTGCGGTTCTGTCCCTGGTCAGGGTGCGTGGAGGGGGTGACTGATTGATGTTTCTCTCTCACATCAATGATTCTGTCCCTCTCTTTCTCCCACCTCCCCCTGTCTCTAGAAACAATAAAAGAAAAAAAAAAGGTATATAGAGACAAATGAGAATGACAATATGACATACCAAACCTTCTGGGATGAAG